TTTTGATAATTCACATTTTAACTGATACGGAAAAAGTTTACAGAGCATGTTAGTCTGATGTTCAATGATTCACATTTATTATTACTACGGAGTAGGAAGTTTACAGTCCGTCATAAATTAAAAATGTCTAAAGGTTTGCAAAAATTTGATGATAAAAAAAATGATCGGATAAATATTCATATTAAAAAAGCTTAAAAGTCAATTTCAAAAGACCTCACGCGTTTCACATTTACATTTATTTAATAGGAAATCTACCATCTTATAACATTCACAGATACACCATATCTTATCTCGTTATTTATGATTTACTTTATATTGCATGCTATACATGTTTGAAGGCACGTTCTCGGACAAAATAATATTAAAATTTCATTTTTGTCAAATCCCTAAGCTCTCATTTATTTTGGCTCTGTTTGATTTTCATAAATCACTCGAACACAAATTAGAATTGAAAATGGTCATTTATTAATTAAATGACGTAATATTAGAACAAAACACTAACTACAAAAATTTGAAATAAAATAACCCGGATGTATATTAAAAAACATATATTATTACATCCGAGTCGAAAACATCTCTGCCTTGTAAAAATCATTATGCCAACATGAACAAAGAGTATTACATAATATATTCATCGTTATGTCCTTGAAAATCAAAAGTTGGGGGACCAAAAATTACCCCAACACACATTATGACAAATAAAAATAATAACACAGAAAAATATAAAATGATTGACTAGAATGAATTTTCAAAATAAACAAATATTACAACTGATGCCTAAACGATATTATGAATACGAGGTGTAATCAAAACAAAAATAAATAAAAAATACTAGTTTACACATTGCGTTAGGGAGGGTGGTGGGCTGTAAAAAACTTTCCAGCTACCAACAGCGTGACACTTGATCTTTTGTTTTTGTTTGCAATGCCCCCTAGCGGTGAGCAAGATTGGATAACTCTTTCCAATTAATTATTAAGAAGGAGATAACTCTCTTTTAACAACGATTGCCAAAAACACATTTATGTTCATAAATGTTATTTTTGTCAAATCCCTTAGCTCTCATTTATTTTGGCTCTGTTTGATTTTCATAAATCACTCAAACACAAATTAGAATTGAAAATGGTCATTTATTAATTAAATGACGTAATATTGGAACAAAACACTAACTACAAAAATTTAAAATAAAATAACCCGGATGTATATTAAAAAACATATAGTATTACATCCGGGTCGAAAACATCTCTGCCTTGTAAAAATCATTATGCCAACATGAACAAAGAGTATTACATAATATATTCATCGTTATGTCCTTGAAAATCAAAAGTTGGGGGACCAAAAATTACCCCAACACACATTATGACAAATAAAAATAATAACACAGAAAAATATAAAATGATTGACTAGATTAAATTTTCAAAATAAACAAATATTACAACTGATGCCTAAACGATATTATGAATACGAGGTGTAATCAAAACAAAAATAAATAAAAAATACTAGTTTACACATTGCGTTAGTGAGGGTGGTGGGCTGTAAAAAACTTTCCAGCTACCAACAACGTGACACTTGATCTTTTGTTTTTGTTTGCAATGCCCCCTAGCGGTGAGCAAGATTGGATAACTCTTTCCAATTAATTATTAAGAAGGAGATAACTCTCTTTTAACAATGATTGCCAAAAACACATTTATGTTCATAAATGTTATTTTTGTCAAATCCCTTAGCTCTCATTTAGTTTGGCTCTGTTTGATTTTCATAAATCACTCAAACACAAATTAGAATTGAAAATGGTCATTTATTAATTAAATGACGTAATATTGGAACAAAACACTAACTACAAAAATTTGAAATAAAATAACCCGGATGTATATTAAAAAACATATATTATTACATCCGGGTCGAAAACATCTCTGCCTTGTAAAAATCATTATGCCAACATGAACAAAGAGTATTACATAATATATTCATCGTTATGTCCTTGAAAATCAAAGGTGGGGGACCAAAAATTGCCACAGTATTACTTGAAAGGCGTATTGAAAAGTAATACCCCCCACCCCAAAATGAATGAGACACTCAATTGTATAGCATAATTACCTGACATATGTCAATGGCAAGAGATTGAAATGAAAATAACTACATGACTAGATTTCTACCATGCAATATAACTATATAACATAACAATATGTAAGAAAAACTTTTTTCTTCAAAAATACATAATTTCATAAAGATACATTAACATTCCATTCCAACAGAGGTCCAAAGCCCCATGCCAGAAAAATACTGCAGTAATTATTTTCAAACTAACATTACCGTATTTGATACAAAAAACTTAGTGTCCATACTCTACAAGTAACTTTAAAGGACAGAGGCCCCTGACCCCATGTCCTGTTTACAAATTCAATAAAGGAATTCGAATGTATTTCCTATACGCATTAGATTTCCAACGTCCTAACAGTTGAATTTGGTCATCGGAAACTCCTTTTGATTTTGCCCATGTAGTTGCACCAATTCTAAAAGAATGTCCTTTGTAACTTTTTGTGTCATAGTTCAAAAAAGTTAAAGAGATTTTCAATTGTTGATTGAAATATTGCCTAGATATTGGGGATTTGTCTTGGAACATAAACAGTGGAATTTCATTCTGTCCTCTCAATTTCATATAGTCCCATAGAGCTAAAACAGGGCATAACTGCTTGTTTTCCTTGTTTGCTGATAATTGTAAAGTAACGGGTGGTTTTCCAATATGGTGCTTGAAGTTGACCATGGTTACACACAAACTTACTGGGGACCCATCATGTTGTTTTCCAAATGATACTGTTGATAGTGGTAGTGGATCTCCCAGAGAAGAGGATGTTATTTCACCCATCCTTAGGAAAGCATGAAAAGCTAAAAGGAACATAGCCTTGAATAAGTGCATCTGATAATAAGATTGGGTGCAATTCTCAAAGAGTTCACAATTTGTTGAAGCATCAATGGAGTAATTGGAAGTCTGCTATCTGGCTTTGCTTTAAGCTTTTGAAAGCCTTGTATGGCTCGTTTCACCTTAAAATGTTGTGTTGGGTCTTCATGACCTTCCATTTTGCTGAAATGTGTGAGTGCTGACAGGTACCTTAAAACTGTTTGTGGAGCCAAACTCTTTTGAAAACAATGAGATATGAACAAAACTAATTGGTTTGCGGAAATTGGGAATAACTGGGAATCAGGAAAGTACTTTTGTTGAAAAGTTGTGTACACTTCTTTGGCTCAAATATGTTGACACCGAATTTAGAGCTTGAACATCTCTTTTGGCACGGATACTGGGTTCTGATTCATTGTTGGAGCAAGTTTCAGGAATTCTTGTATCTGTAAACGAGACAATTTATCACTAAGAATATTGTTCACACCTTTTACATGTTGAGATTGAAAATAAATGTTAAATTTCAGACACTGAACTATAAGACGACGTAATAGTTTCATAAGTAATACATCTTTAGCCGTTTGTTTATTGATCACTTGCACTACTGCCATATTGTCCGAAAAGAAACAGACTTTCTTGTTTGCAAACTCTTGAGCCCATACTTGAACTGCGACCACAATTGGAAAGAGTTCTTTGATAGAAATGTGATACTTGGACCATGATGAAGGCCATTTACCATAAAACCATTTCACTCCAAAATATCCACCAAATCCAAGTCCACTTGCATCTGTGAATAGTTGCGATTTGTCTGATGTGTACCATACATCTTCTAAGAACAGTGATTTGCCATTGAAATGGTTAAGAAATATTGACCACGCTTCAATGTCGGCTTTTGCTTCTTTGCCTAATCTGCGCCTATGATGTGGTTTCTGCAAGCCTTTTGTAAGATCTATTAATCGGCGCAAAAATGTTCTGCCTGGTGGCACAACTGAACATGCGAAATTCAAGAGCCCGATTACAGACTGTAGTTCCTGGAGTGTAATTTTCTTTCAGCTCTTATAAACATCAATTTGGGAACGCATTCGAAGCAATTTTTCTTGAGACAAGCGGATTTCCATGGCTACTGTGTCTAAATCAAGACCTAAGAAAGTTAAAATTGTTGTTGGAAATACAGTTTTTGATTCTTTTATTGGTACTCCTATACTTTTCATAAATTTCAAAAATAATTTAAGTTGGCCATTACAGGACTCCATACATGCTGAGCCAACCAACAGGAAATCATCCAACAAATGGACACATCCTTCAATTTTTAATTTTTCATTCACCACCCAATGAATTGCTGTAGAAAATTTTTGAAATAGATTACAGGCAAAGCTTAAACCCATAGGTAATGTTTTATCATAGTAGAAGTAATCACCAATGGCAAATCCAAAAAGTTCATGATCAGAAGGGTGAATTGGAATGTTTTTGTAACCGTTTTCAATGTCAGTTTTTGCTAACAGAGCTCCTTTCCCAAAATGCTGAATAAGGTTAATGGCGTCATCTACTGTTTGATAGGAAACTGCCAAATCTTCTTTACCAATGCCATCATTCATTGAAGAGCCGTCCGGGTAAGAAAGGTGATGTATTATTCCATATTCACTATAACGCCTCAATCATCGTTTAAGATTTTATTCAGTTGACATATAGATGATCTTACGATAAAGGCTACAAACAAAAAAGAACAAAACAAGACTGAATACACATCACTGACATTGACGCTGAATTTTGCAAGTTTAAAGTTAAATTTACACAAAGAAATATTTCCTAACTGAATTTATATAAATAGAATGTACATTAAATTGATTTAGCATTATTAACTCACTCTATTGTGGCTCAAAAGTCTCAAACATGATAGAAAAACAGTGGTGCGGCCGAGGCGCCAGTTGCGATCTTGAATGCACGAGAAACACTGAATAGTAACACAAGTAATATTCGGATATAAACGGTAGACTAAAACATTTCACACGGACAAAAACGGAATAACACAAAACAGTCTACGAACATATATACATATAAGCCGTGTAACGGCACACTCCCCGCCTGTGATGTCCAACATCGCAAACAGTCTCTATGGTGAAAACAGCAAAACCACTTCTGTAACAGGTCTAACGTAGTTGACGACACGATCATTTCTCACTACACGGAGTTCGATTTTACGCACTTTTCCATCTTCACCTGGAAAGACACGGACAACAATACCCATCGGCCATTCATTCCTGACGGAGTCTTGATCCTTCAAGAGTACGACATCACCTTCGGTAAGATTGTTTTGAGGGTCCACCCACTTGCGTCTTGACTGTAACAACTGGAGGTACTGTGAGCGCCACTTCCTCCAAAAATGGTCAGCTAAGATTTGTATGTATTTCCAATGGGACTTGTACATATCCTTCGTATCAAATCGCTCAAATGGTCCAACGTCGAGTTCTGTCTTCTGTGTTAACAAGGTATATGGAGATAGCACACAGGGTTGAGATGGATCGGTTGATACAGGTACTATCGGTCGACTGTTTATAATTGCAGTAACTTCCGTCATGAGAGTATTTAATACATCGTGTGTAAGGTTTTTCTTTATTTCCTTAAGAAGCATAGAATCCAAGATCCGTCGAGCAATGCCAATCATCCTCTCCCACACCCCTCCCATGTCGGAAGAGTGGGGAGGGTTGAAGATCCAAGAACATCCACTGTCTGTAAGAAACTTCTTTACTGGTGAACTTTCTATGTTGACTGCAGTGATTCCTAGTGCGTCTGTACTGCCGACAAAGTTTGTACCTCTATCCGAGCGAAATTCTGTAACTTTTCCTCTTATGGCTATGAAACGTCTGAGGGCGTTGATAAACATAGGTGATGACATATCTTCCACTAGCTCTATATGTACGGCTCGACTTGTCAGACAGGTGAATAAGATAGCCCAGCGTTTGCTATTAGCCGAACCTCCTCTGGTCTTGCGCGTAACAATCTCCCAGGGTCCGAATGTGTCCACGCCCACATAGGTAAATGGAGGTGACGGTTTTGTACGGCATTCCGGAAGATTTCCCATCTTCTGATGTTCCAGTTTACCTCGGAGTTTTCTGCAGGTAACACAGGAATGTATGACTGACGATATTAATCTCTTTCCACCAATCACCCAATATCCAGACGAGCGAACGGCTCCCTCAGTTAAGTGTCTCCCCTGGTGCTTCACAACTTCATGACAATGTAGAACGAGAAGACGAGCTAGGTAAGTTTTTCCATGAATAATGATTGGGCCGTGTTCGTCAGACAGGGCGTCTCCAGTACGAATTCTCCCTCCTAGTCGTATGATTCCACCATGAAGATAAGGATCCAGGTAGCGTAACGAGCTATCTTTAGATACTGGTTTGTCATTGGTCAAGTTTGTGATTTCCGCAGAAAATGTTTCATTTTGACAGAGTTTCACTAGGAACAGTTCTGTTGCACGGTTCATGTGTACAGGATCCAACAATGGTAAACCAAGTTTCTTCATCACAACTTTTCGGAGAACAGTAATTGCTCTGACTAAGGATGTCCATGAGGAAAATCTATCTATCCTGTTGTAGACTTCATGGGCGTTGAAACATGTTTTCTGTACTACAATGTTAGCGTTTCTAATTTCGTTGTCTCTTTCCGGGTCAATAAGTGGAAAATCCTCTTTTTCAAATAGATAACTCTGTTGTTGTAAACAAACAGGTCCTTGAAGCCACATGCTGTGAGGTAGTTCATTCGCTAGAATTCCTCTGCTCCCGATATCCGCAGGATTTTCCTCAGTTGAAATATAGTTCCACTGCTCTGGAGGTGAGTGCTGACGGATACGCTGTACTCGGTTAGCTACATAAGTATGGAAACGTTTGGTTTGGTTATAAATGTATCCAAGGACTATGCGACTATCTGTATAGAACTTCACTTCATGGATAGTAGTGTCTATGTGTTTTAGCACAAAAGATGCGAGTTCTGTACACAAAACTGCTGCACACAGTTCAAGTCTGGGAATAGTGTGACCATGTTGGGGTGAAAGTTTTGACTTTCCCATCAAAAATCCAACCTGTATGCATGCATTGTCATTTGGTATCACACGTAAGTAAGCCACTGCACAAACGGCTTTTTCGGAAGCATCTGAGAAGAAGTGTATCTCCTTTCGATTGTCTTCTCCCAGGGAAGTTGGCACGATAGTTCTAGAAATCTGTAAACTCGACAGATGGTGTAAGGTGTTGCACCAAGTTTTCCATCCATTGGCGATATTCATTGGAACCATGTCGTCCCATCCAACAGGTAAGTTTATCACTTCACGAAATAAGAATCTGCCTTGCAGAATCACAGGGGCTATAAATCCAAGTGGATCGTACAGACTGTTCAGACATGAAAGAATTCCTCTCTTTGTTAGCGGAGGGTCCCTGACCCTGGGTACAAACTGATAGGTGAATGCGTCGGACATTACATTCCACTTGAGTCCCAGACTCCGTTGTAATGGCGCAGCATTTAAGTGTAAATCCACGTCAGATAAATCTTTAGCCCTGTCGCCTGGAGGTAGTACATCCATGATATACGAGCTGTTTGATGCAAACTTATGAAACCTCAAGTTCCCTTCTTCTTTGAGTGTAGTCTGCGTTTTTTGTAGGATTTCTAATGCTTCATCTTCCGTTGGGTAAGATGCGAGACCATCGTCTACATAGAAGTTTCTGTTAACAAATTCACGAACTTTTGGGTCACACTCCTTGATCTTAACACATTGTCTCAAACAATACGTTGCTACTGCTGGAGAAGGTGAGTTTCCAAATAGGTGAGCACACATACGGTATTCCATTAAAGGTAGAGCTGGGTCATTGTCTGTGAACCAAATAAATCGTACAAAGTTTCTGTGATCCTCTCGAATTTTGAATGAGTGAAACATTTGTTCAATATCACCTGTCACAGCTACTTTCTCTTTTCTAAATCTTAGTAGAATCCCATGTAAACTGTTGGTAAGGTCGGGTCCACTTAAAAGAACTGAATTCAGGGAGTGTCCCTGAAATACTGCAGATGAATCGAAAACCATACGTATTTGGTTTTGCTTCTTTGCGTGGTAGACGCCGAAGATCGGTAGGAACCAACACTCTTCCCCGTCCTTAAGCTCTGATGCTTTTTCTGCATGGCCTTTAGAAAACACTTTGTCCATAAACGAGATTGCATGTTCCATTTTCAACTTGTTCTTTTTACAAGAAGCTAGAAATGACAGAGTTCTTTTCATGGCTTGTTCACGATTATTCGGAAGTTTCTCTCTACTGGTCTTAAATGGAAGCGGAGCAGTCCAGTTTCCGTTCTCATCTCTGTAACATTCATTGTCCATAATTTTTAGGAATTCTCGATCATTCACTGACATGCCTGGTTCATTGTCCTGGGGGTGTTTTCACAAAAATATCAGTAGTCATTATTTCCTCACTACAGAATGAGTTGTCTGCAACTTTAGATACATGCATGTAAGAAGGACAAGGTGGAAATGTCGAGCTTCTTCCTGATGGTAGAATGTGCGTTTTGTTGGTCACAATGTTCGTAGGTACATGTACCTTATCAAGACAACACTCTCCTATAACTGTCCATCCTAACGATAGTTTTTTGTGCAAACGGAGCTCCATGAGGTCCAGTTCTCTGTGTTAGGACATGATGAGCATCTGGATGATCTCTTCCGATGAGTAACAAAATGTCTGCCTCTTCATTCAGATCTGGTATATGAGTGGCTAAGTCTGCTAGATGAGGGTATGCACGTGCCACGTCTGGTGTAGGAATCTCCTCTCTGCAGTTTGGTATGTCATCACATTCTATCACAGACTGTAGATGAATTTGGTTTCCTTCCAATACTGGTTCTAAGGTAAAGTTTGATGCACATCTGCCAGTGAGTGTCACAGAACCGTTGCATGATGATAATGTGTAAGTCACAGAATCAGTGTCCATATCAAACATATTGAAGAACTGTGAACGAGCGAGTGTACGACTGCTTTGATCATCGACTATGGCATAGATAGTCTTTTTCTCTGATGGTCGATCAGTGGGATAAACGTTGATCAGAATAGTTTTAGAGCACGATTTGCCCTTAAAGTTTGTTCCACATATCACGGTACACTTATTCTGCACATCTGTCTTGTCATGGTTCATTTTCTCCCCGCCTTGATCCGAGTGTTTGGATCTGTAGTAGTCATGGAGCGCAGTATGATGAGTGTCACTTTCACAATTCTCACATTTCACTACTGTTTTGCAATCACGAGCTAAGTGATTCGAGTCCAAACATCGGAAACACAATCCAGAGTTTTTCAAGATCTTCCTCCTCTCAGATAAAGGTTTACATCGGAATGTTTTACAATCTTTAAGACTGTGGTGTGTGTTGTGAGTAGGGCACCTTTGTCCTCTGGGAGACACATACTTGTTTGGTTCCACTTCAGTTTTACACGATAGAACTGTAGTATTCTTGGTTTTCTTGTTCTGAATTGGTCCAGGGGTACTAAAAGATCCTTCATATTGAAATCCTGGATCATTTCTAATCTTACTCATTTCTTGTAAGAATTCCACAAAATAATCAAATGGTGGATATGGAACATCCAGTCTAGCTTTGTAGCTTGCGGCACGGGTCGTCCATTTCTCTTGTAAGTTATAAGGCAGTTTATTCACAATAGGTATAATGCCAGAAGATGAGTCAAAGTAGGACAATAATGTCGAGTAGTTTGAATCTTCTTTTAAAGACTCGATTTCTGCTAGAATGTCGACTAATTCATACAAACGTTTACTGTCTTTGTTACTAATTCTGGGAAAGTCTCTGAGTTTGTTCTTTAAAGAATGTTCTACTAATTCAGGGCTTCCATAACGTTCTTGGAGTCTTTTCCATATCCTATGAAGGCCTCGTTCTGGGTATGCTGTATTCGCTGCTCTAATACTGGCTGCAAACTTTGAGGATTCTGGTCCTAAGAATTTCACTAGTAAGTCCATTTCTTCAAACGGTGTAACTCTCAGTTCCTCTGTTATACTCTTGAAACTAGCTTTCCATGTGACAAATGTTTCTGGTTTATCACTGAACTGCGAAAATCTTGAGAATAACAGATCCTTCTTGAGTAGAAATCTTGTAAGATCACTAACGACATTCTGATCTTCAGAATTTTTCACATGTTGACTAACGAATTCTTTTGCCATAGGGTTCAGGTTAGACTGAGTCTCTTTCTGATGTGGTATGTCTTGATCAATCACAGGATCTATGGGACCATTATCACAATTTGAAGTTTGTTTACCGAAGACACTATTATCACTGTGATCACTGATGTAACGAGCAGTAAACTGTTTGCGATTTATCGGTACATCGATATCTGATGGTATAACAGACCCTTGTCTAGTGTCCGACTCAAAGTTCTCTATTGCTTTCACTTCTGCTTCTACGAGTGCTGCTTTTCTTTTTTCTTCTAACAAGTGATGCGTAGCCTCAAGCTCTGCTTTCTTTCGTTCACTTTCAGCTTGTTGTTTTGCTTCATGTTCCTTAAGTGATGCTTTTTCTTTAAGGATCGCAAGTTCCTTCTCTCGGAATAGAATGTTAGCACGTTGCGTTTCTGCTTCCACACGTTTCTTGAACAGGATTGAATCAACACGGGATGACGACGTCCTTACTGAAGCGGACCTCCGTGAGGCAGTTTCTGTTGCTTCCATACGAGTATCCCTGATTCTTTTCCTTAATTCCTGAATAATACCTTTTCCTTTGTCGAAGGCAGCCGTGAGGGAGTCCAACTCCTGCTGGCTTTCTATTGTATTTCTTCGGGTAAGATATTCACGAAATGACACACACTCTTCCTCATATCTATCTCCAAGATAATCAAGTCTGGAACCCAGAACACGCAATGCTGGTGTATAATGACTAATGTTTTCTATCTCACTGGGAATGTTCTCTATATCAGTCCAAATTAAATCGATTTTTGAGTTGTATTTCTTAACTTCAGCATCGTACAGTTCTTTAGCTTTTACTGTTAATGTTCTTACTCGTTTCTCACTTGTTTCTGATGGTGTGGTGTTTCTTTCCTCTGTCGGCTCAGGGTCTGTTTCTTCTTTGACGCCGTCCTCGGTGGTGTGAGGGTCATCCGCTACCACGTTCTTCTCAGCCATGATGGTGTAGGTAATAGACCTTTATTATAACGCCTCAATCATCGTTTAAGATTTTATTCAGTTGACATATAGATGATCTTACGATAAAGGCTACAAACAAAAAAGAACAAAACAAGACTGAATACACATCACTGACATTGACGCTGAATTTTGCAAATTTAAAGTTAAATTTACACAAAGAAATATTTCCTAACTGAATTTATATAAATAGAATGTACATTAAATTGATTTAGCATTATTAACTCACTCTATTGTGGCTCAAAAGTCTCAAACATGATAGAAAAACAGTGGTGCGGCCGAGGCGCCAGTTGCGATCTTGAATGCACGAGAAACACTGAATAGTAACACAAGTAATATTCGGATATAAACGGTAGACTAAAACATTTCACACGGACAAAAACGGAATAACACAAAACAGTCTACGAACATATATACATATAAGCCGTGTAACGGCACATTCACCTTGTGTTTGTTTAGGAACTAATCCTAGGGGAGAAACTTGTAAATTTTCGAATGGCAATTTATCTAATGTAAATGGGCCTGCTGCTCGTCCCTTTTTAACTTCTATGTCAATTTTTTGCTGCAGAATGTCTATATTTTCCTTCGCAGATTTGAGATTTTCACTAAACCTAAATTTTCTGTCTCCATGATAAGGAATTCTGAAACCATTAGTAAAACCATCTATGAGGTATTGTCTTTTTTCCTGATTATAATTTTGGAGCCAAACTGCCAATGTCTTTACACAAATAGGAGTCACAACATTACTTCTTGAATGGAGTTTGGGTATTTGCTGGCTTTGTGTTTGAATGATTAGGTCTCTTGTTGTTGTCTGGAAGCCGGCAGTCTTTTTTGTTGTGATCTCCAAAACATTTACTACATATGTGAGCATACTCGCAGTTTGATCTTGCACACTGTCCAGCATTGTTGTTGAAGCTAAAACATGGCTTTTTTATTGTTTTTCACACGAAATGGCTGCTGCTGGTTTTGTTTTGGTCGAATGGTTTTTCCCTCTGTTTGAAACAATTTTGATTTTAGACCAATCTGCAAAGCTTCAGAATGAAGCTCAGAGTTTATCTTCTCCCACGGCATCTGGTCTAAATTCTCTGCCCTCCATTTTCTGAATTGCTCGTCATAGTGGAATGCTGCTCTCTCCCCGGCATCAGAACTTAGCTTCTGGACTGTAGCCATGTACTTAATGAGGTTAGGTGCCTGTTCGGGGAACTTCTCACAGTAAATTGCCACAAAAACGTGGAAGGCTCCTGTCCACTGTTGTAAGGATTTGAAGAAGTATTTGTGTCCCTTTTGAAGAAATGTGACGCTATTGTCACTTGCCTGCACCGCCTCCAACTTGACATATGGGTGTTTGAACACCAGACAACCTAACTGGATGAACTCCTCAGCCCATATCTTTGCCTTAATTTTCGTATCGATCCCTAGACCCAAAGGACGACCAATGTGAAGTGGCCCTGTACCCTTATTTTTATTACCTTCAGTAGTCGATGATTGCAGTGTTTCTTGTGATGGTGCAGGTGATGTCGCAGATGACGCTACAGATGATGTCGCAGCTGATGTCACAGGCGATGTTGCAAATGATGTGGATGACATGGAAATTCCCTCCAAATTGTTGCCTGTATTAGACTGGTTAGACTGAGATGAGATTATAACAGATATAATAATAGCTAGTGCTGTGTATTTATGTGAATGATTTACTTATATCACAGTTTTGTAGCCAACAAATTTTAGTTGATCAAGCCACCACCCATGACCATCGCTTAATACAAACTTTATTCAGTGCCAATATAGAAATACTTTTTCTTCACAGATAACCCTGTTATTTATATGAAAAATACGTCTTTATGTTGGAAATCACTTACATCTCCAAGTACAAAAAGCAGCTATCACTTGGGTATGATTACAAATTACTATTCTTCTCTCCTTCAGCTGAAATTAATAATATAATTAAACGTGAATCATTATCTACAATTGCTAAGTGTGACTGTAAAAATCTTAATTTTGACTAACGCCAACTTTCATAGTTAACACTATTAATTTGTATGTATGATTAGCTACTGTAGCTAACGCTACCAGGTATGCCTAACACCTCAATCTCATAGCTAATGCTAACTAGTTTAGCCATTGAAATATTATTTGTACAGCTAATGCTGTGACCCAAATTGATGAACATCAATCACTTACACAATTCTGTGATCTCATAGCTAGCACTATGACCTTGTGTATAATAAACTTTGTAGCTAACGCTACCACAACTAATATGGCTATCGCCTTAATATCATAGCTAACGCTACCACAGATTAAGCACTCTAAGCATTATGTGTAATTTTACCGTACAGCTGGCGCTGTGGTGCAAATTGTTGAAAATAAATCACTTACATAGTTCTGTGAATATAACCCTGGCTACCGCCTTGGTTATCTGTCTATATATCTCAAACTGAAAAGATAATAAATATATGTAAATAAACATTTTCTTCTATCACAAATATGCATTTCAACTTTTTGAATGATTAAATCATCTTATCATACAATAACATATACATTTTTAATTATTCATTTATTGCATTACAAGTATAAATTCTTATATATGTCTTTAAATGTCATCATTTGGCAGTAAAATCATGAACAATTGTCAATACAATTATTACTTCTTGGTCATAAGCAAATTCTCTGTTGACTGTTTAATAGACATTTATACAATATTTATTGATAAATTGATATGCACATAATATTGTTTCTGTAGTATTTTGGCAGACGGTATTGTTTGTTTACTTACACCCCATCATGAAAGAGATTTCGCACACACTGTTTATAAGTCCACACAATTTTCCCTTGGAGTGTCTTGAATTGAATTGTTCTTCTAACATTTTTGTTTGCATGAGGGACTAGGTCATTGAACGTGAAGTTGAGAGCTTTCTTGCGTTGTCACCAAAAGAAGCTTGCATACCATTAGTTTTACTGCATATCTACATACATATAGTTTCAAAAAGTTCACCAAACGCATAGTGATTACTGGAATTTCACTTACACAAATGTCACTAGAGTATTAATCATTTGACATATTTGCACAATCACAAAATCAGGGTTGAATGCAGGAAATGCATCACAAATTCTTTCACAAGTTGAGAATTTGTTATCCGGCCCTCCAGTGTACCATAAAGTCAACAAACGCACTTCATAAAAAAAAATTCAGCACTCGTGCCATTTTAAACAGTCTTGTTTACATCAGCATTCCATTGCAGAAATTGGCCAATCAGAATGCACGGCTAAATATACCAGTTCTAACCCCAAAGTTATATGCTCGAAGACTCCTTAACACAACATATATATGGCAAAATTTTGAGTTAAAACAGATTAGAAAATCTAATACGAGATAAATATCCATGCTAAATATACTTTACGTCGGTAACATTGTCAGAAAAACTAAGAACCTATTCGTACATATTGCGTAACACCCCACGCTAAAAGCGCGCCTCATTGCTGTAGAAAAAAATACAGATGGTCAAAGCTTTACAAATCTCCTGATTTTCTAAGCACCAACTTCGATTGCAAACATTTCAAAACTTACGCTTTTACACACTGGTAGGCGAAAAACACATCACATTGACAGTTCAAAACTGTAAAAAACTTTCCAGCTACCAACAGCGTGACACTTGATCTTTTGTTTTTGTTTGCAATGCCCCCTAGCGGTGAGCAAGTTTGGATAACTCTTTCCAATTAATTCCTAAGTAGGAGATAACTCTCTTTTAACAATGATTGCCAAAAACACATTTATGTTCATAAATGTTATTTTTTTCATATTTTCTAAAATTTCAAATGACCTTTAACCCCAATCCCCCGATAATACCATGCTTAAAAAAGTAACAGGTCTGTTGTTTATTGTTACACTAGAAGGATGCTTTGTGAATTGTGTAGTGTTTTGTTGTCGTGTATTATTTTTACCTCTCCGTACAGGAAACAGCACATTAAACAATGTATTTTAGACGTACTTCAGTATTAAGATTAATGTGATGTAAATTAATAACTATTATCTCTGTTATATATTTTCTGTAATTCTGCAGATGCAAGTTTGATAGACACCAGGGATTCTAAGACTGAACAAAATAATTATTATCGATCTTTCCAGAACTTAAAGCCGTCTATCTTAGAAGTACCTCAATATTATTATTGACAATTAGATTAAAAATATATTAATCAATTAACTTTGTGATTCTTTTTGTTTGATTTGACAGGGGACAGTGTTATAAATACAGGTATTATTTTACTACAATCTGTCTGTGATGTTCTTCTCCACCCAGACAGAGGTCATGACGAGTATAGTGGATATAACTCTACTGATCTATTTTAAACAAGTGTCCATGTATATGTTTCTTTTTTTAATTCTACAGGAGACAGTATGTTAGATACAGGTTACCCCACTTACGTCGATCTGTCTGGGATGTACTTCAGTACTCCAGACAGAGATAATGATAGGTGGTATTATAACTGTGCTGCTGACTACAGAGGAGGCTGGTGGTTTAACTTCTGTCACTACGCCT